AGAGAGAGAGAGAGAGAGAGAGAGAGAGAGAGAGAGAGAGAGAGAGAGAGAGAGAGAGAGAGAGAGAGAGAGAGAGAGATTGTTGCACCACGTTCAAATGTGATGTGGTGCAGTCGCGTCTTCCTCTGAATAGAACAAAGAGCAAAGGGTCATTGTAAATGTATATGGAGTGAAAATTGTGCCAGATGCAGCTATAATATCAGGGGGAGAAGGCAATGGCACCACGTCACATTTGATACATGAGGCAATTTCCCAAAAAATAAAAATAAACAATAATAATAATAATAATAATAATAATAATAATAATAATAATAATATCACTGGCTGACAATTGCCGTAACTAAACAGAAGTAAAAAAAAAAAACAAAAAAAAAAAACAAAAAAAAAACAAGAAAACTTTGAGTTTTCTCAAGTCCTGAATCTGGACATGTTTGTGGAGATGTGCAGCTGAGGAAACTCAAAGCCATTTCAGCTCATCTCCACAAACACTTCCAGATTCAAGCGTTTTTGGGAAATAATTTAAGTTCGTAGTTACAGGAGGGATACTAAAAGGAAGAAAAGGGAGAGTGTTTGGGAGGGTGTTGGCATTAGACACTGCTCATACTGGATGGGGGTGGGCCAAGAAAGAAAAGGGAGGCGCAGCCACTGGCAAAAATACTGAGTCTCATACTTTTCTCGGCCTTTTGGCTAAGATCAAGGGCCTCGCCGCACGGTGCACGAAACGAAAAAAAAAACGACTTCGTTTCGTGAAGGAGTCGCCGCACAGCACCCACACGACCTCTGTCAGAAAAAAGTCGTGAATGCTGTCAGACTTGAAGTTCGCGAGGCCTCACGAGTGTGCCGACTCCTCCCTGCCTGCAGCGCTCGCGAATTCGTAGGTCCTCCGCTGGTCGGCTGGAGGAGCTGCGAAATCTCACGAGTGTGCGGCATCACTCCAACCGAGGTCCATCCAAAAAATTGGGCCGTAGCGTCCACAAATTTGGACAGTAGCGAAACGAATCCCGCACTACTCTCGCCAGCACTACTCTCGCCAGGGCGTTGTCGCGAGAGTTTTCGTGTGTGCTGTGGGGCGATGAGGCCAAAAACGAGGCGAAACGGTGGATCAGGGCTTCGCGCCTCGCGACTCTGGTGGTCTTTTCGTTTCTTTAGTTGTGCCCTCCGGCGAGGCCCCAAGTGTAGTATCTGTTCTGATCAGTTAAAAAAAAATAAAAAATAAAAAAAATACTGAGTCTTTGTGTGTGCCGGGCCCCCATGGGGCGGCCCCACAATACTCCCTGACTACCACTGTTAGGTAGGGGGGTAACTCCCACACAGGGCGGTTGGACAACATGCAATCCCCCCCCCTTCATTGAAAGGCAGCTATGTTTGCTGGAGTCCTATCTATCTGGCCCTCGGATTCGATAATAAATAGTACATACATATGTCGGCCCCCCCGCTCACAATTTTTGTGTGTGGGCGGCCCTTGGCCTGCTTGCCACATTGCGCCCGCCGCCCCCCCGCCCCCCTCCCTTTCCGCTGCCCGCTGTGGTTGCGGGCGAATACACACACACGAACGCTTGTCTCTCCCTCTGGCGACGTGGTGAGCCCTTACCCATTCGTCAACTGCATCCTGGGCACCCTGGGCAGACTGTCGGGGTTCAACCCCCTGATGAGTCGGTGAAAGTCCGACGAAACAGTCAGTCGGGCCCAGTCATACTTAGTTTTTGGACTTGTTGTGCATAGCGAACATCACAACACACGTGTGTGCATAGCGAACATCACAACACACGTGCACACACATGTAACGTACATTTTGGGGCCGGAGTTGTGCGTATTTGTGGTGGCGAAGCTCTTGGTGGAGGTTGAGCTCTGCATCGTGAAGGTTGAAGACGCCAAGGATTGGGCTGCGCAGTGCGTGGAGTCTTACAGACGACGGCGCCACGACTGAAGGTGAGTTAACCCTCCACGTTCGTCTGCGTGCATGTGCTTCGTTTCTTTTTGTTCTGCCTTCGAATTTTCCTGTTCTTTCGTTTCTTCGATCGATGCCACGTCGCGCGCGCTCGCGCGCGCGAGCGAGCGAGCGAGCGAGCGAG